CTTTTTAGTTGCAAGTTGTCTCCACTGTGTTCACATATGCAGAATCTGGTGTAATAAATTACTAAGGCTTTGGTAATAGAAAAAAATAAATCTCTTTATGTCAGGCTTGGCACCTGGTGATTTCATGAACACCAGACAGTTTTCTTGGCAACAGAAAGGAAGCGGTAGCAGATTTCAAATGATTTACCTAGACTATCAAGCAAGATTTTAATTGGAGATCCTGCAGCTGGCTTTTCTCTGAGCAGTTGGTGCTTGTGTGAAGTAATATCAAATTGTACTGCAATATTGTCATTAGAAACCTCAAAACCAGATGTCTGTTGGCTTTGGAATACGGTGGATGAATGATGTGAACTGCTGGAAACTCACTTGGTAGGGATGGCTCTGGTTTTTGGAAGCATTTTATTGTAGATAATGGAAGTGGGTTCCTGGTGTATTTGTGTGTGTGTGTGGTCTTGGCAGCTCTAAACAAGTAAAGACTGGACTTAACAGAGAGCAGGAGAGGTCTGTCTGAAACATGGCCAGTCTCCTTTTTCAAGGCTTAAGGTGGCATTCAAAAATAAGCGATTAAAAAACTATATACGAAATCAAAGATTTTTTTTAAAAAAAAACTTGTGTTATTAAGGAAAAAAAGAAAACAAAAGCCTGAAGACACTATGCAAAGCTAAATGCCTCGTCTGTGCTTTGTGGAAATGTACAGGTATGTGGTAATTTATTGCCTTGCTGTGAAGTACAGAAGTGTGCAAGAGTCTTGGAGAGCAGGGGATAGATATCTGCAAATTGAATCAGCTGTCCAAAGAATCTGGTATTACATCTGTTCTCTCTGCCCATCTCAGTAGATGGGAAGTGGCCTATCAGGGATGCAGAAACCTTGAAATGCTTCAAAAAAACAGCAGCAACATAATTTCAGTAGCACCACATGCCTGTTAATTATAGTAAAGATCTACCTTGTACTAAAGAAAACAAACAAACAAAAGTATATGAAAAAACTTGGGACTGACATTATTTTGCTGGGAACCTCCCTGCAGATTTACAGTGAGGCAGATTTATTTTTAGAGAATGGCTTAGTGTAAAATGTAAAACGGCCTTGTGTTTTATAAGCAATTTTTGACAAGTCCCTGTGTTAGTTACTGTGCTATAAGTAATATTCTTTCTGCTAAACATAGTAATACTGAAAAATGTTTCTAGCATTAAAAACTAATTCAGGACAAAAAGAAAATGGTTGTATGCATCTGTTGCAGAAACTTTGATTTAAATGTCTGCATTTTTCTTGACCACCTAATACCTGAAAAAACTCTTGATAAAGATGATAGAACTGACCTTTATTTGTGTGTTTTATATGCACATTGATTTGTTTCTAAAGAAGGAAATAATGTCTTTAATAGGTTTTGAGATTTTCTGACATACATAACCATAGCGTCCTTAAAACACAACAAATATGCCGTGAAATACTACAAAAAGCAAACATTAAGGCAAAAGAAGTAAGGCTTTTATTGAAGATAGAAAACAAATAATGTAACGATACTTTTTGGAAAGAAAGTACTTTCTGATTAAAAAAAACCCTGATCAATTGTTCAGTAGGGTTCTGAGCAAAGTCAAATAGCTGCAGTTTGAGAATATCAGTTCAGCCATGCTTGAATGATGTAGCAGTAGTGGCATCTGGGTTTTTATTGCCAATCAGACTGTTTTACCTCTATATAAATTAAAGTAAAATATATTTCATTTATGCACATTTCTCAAGACCTTTAAATATTTCTTTGCCTGTATTAGTAACATTTGTCAGAATACTTTTCTGAATGGTTTAGTTGTTTGTTACATAGGTCTGATGTATTTTACATCTTGCTGTATAACTATGTAGTTTCTTGCTTGGCAAATGTACATTTATTTCTAATTTAGTACATATGGTCAACATTCCTTCCTTGGCAGATACTGTATACATAATGTCCTCCTTCAAGGAGTGATATTGAAACCACCTTTTAATTCCTGTGTTATATATTTGCGCCAGTTACTGCAGGCGTCTGCTGAAAATAGCTTGATACATAACTATGGTTAGTGATGTGATTGCCCCATCTTCTTCACGCTTGCACTATTTCGTAATATTCCCTAGCATTTTTAAAGAGTTTAAGAGGTGGTGTGCCCCCCTGCTACTCATGTAGCAATGTTTTTCTCATCAAATTTTGCCTTGTTTTGTTAGCTTAATTTTACTTACTTTTTTCAAATTTTATACTTTCTCTCAGTATTCTAGAATGTACCTGCTGAATGTGTGGACAGGAAGTGTGCATTGGAAAGGAACTTGTGGGAATAGCAAAGTTAAGATGTATCTGGATGGAAGTCATTACAGAAAACTGTACTGTTTTGGTACTCATAGGTTCCAAAATAACTAACAATCAGAAGAACTCTAGCAGTTGGTAATTCTATTTCCAGCCCAGACTGGCTGTCAAAGGGACACAAAATTAAATTTACACAAAATTACAATTGAATTAGAGACATACTGAGGAAGGAATGTCTTACGATTCCTGGGTGCCATAGCCAGGATTCCAGATTCCATCCTTCAGATAAAAAGGCATGAATAAATTACCTACAGTAACATTATAAGCCACAGAAGAAGTATCAGCCCAGAGTCACTTTGTGTGAGATATAAATGTGACAAATTAAATAAATAAATAATAAATAAATAAATCTACAGTATTTTAGCCACTGTGATCACACTGATAAGTACATGCTGGGACTGCCAAGCTGTGTTA